ATAAAGAGCAAAAATTGACTTGAAAATGTATCCTTTTAAAAATAAATTTGCAGTTTTCAACAAATGAAAAAAAGAAAACTTTCTTCAATTGTTCTTGTCTTTTTTCTCATCGAAATTTTCCACAAGAAAAACATCACTTTTTCTTTTTAAACTTCACTTTCATATAAAATAACTTGACATTAAAGAGACAGGAATGTGAGAAAGAGAAAGTCACTTGAATCTAGAGAAGTGGCAAGTGTTGATTAAGCTACATGAGTTAAAAATGCCAGGGTGATTCTAAAAACTTTTTATCTTACCAGATCTCAAAGTCATGGACAAATACACAAAATTGATGGAACTATGTTCTCCTAAAGCAATTAGAATTTGATGAGTCATAGAGAATTGCCCCCAACCATATCTATAAGAAGTCAGGGAAAATGTTAGTGTCTGGTAACTAATTTTAATTAATATGAAAATAAAAACGTTTAGTTGATATTACTTGAAATTTACTCAGGACTCTATTAATTGCCTTTCATAAAGTAAGTCATGCATCATATACATATCTTACCTGCAATAACATCATTTTATTACTACTATCGTTCATAAAACGCTTCAAATGCAATATGTTTAAATAGCACATAATTCTCAAGCATAAAAACCCTCAACTTACACGTAATAAAGTTTAATTAATTGATTGATTAATTTTAAAGTAAAGAGATTACACAAATAAACAGGATATTTCTGGATTCGTGCATGCGCACGTGTGTGCGAAGCTCTCTTGTTCTATTATAATACTGCAACTGTTAAGGCACCTATATTATATCTAAAAGTACATGTAATTATATATTAAATTAATTTACAAGTACACGTGTGTATAATTCATCAGTCATAAAGTTAGTTTTCAGAATGGGAAACTCATAGGACTACAGTTGATTAGTGGACTCTGGAAAACAATTTGCTGTTTTCTGCTCTCTGCTGTTCAGTTTTGGCAATTATCTTTTACAATTTTACTGGTTTTGAAAAAAGATTGATATATTACAGTAAAAATAAAAATAAAAAATCATACTATCTGTCTCTTTATTTGGTTAATTGTTGCTATTGTATGTGTGTATGTGTTTAAATAATGAAGGCATTTTATCAGTAATGTTAGAATTAAACATTTTATGTAAGCATGTTTTTCTCCTTCAATCTACCTTCATTTGTAATTTAGCAAAGAATTTATTTACTTTTAAATATTTAAAAGATTTAAAAATACATATACCCATTATACACAGTTTTAAGTTGTGTTCCAAAATGAAACTCACAAAACAAGTCATTGCAGAGGCGGGGGGAGATAAATTTTAAAGGCCTGGCAGACAAGCTTTTAGTGGCCTTGATCTCACCATGGAATTATAAAAGTCACTCCCAGTTTTTCTACTTATGGAGTTTGATCAAGTGGAGCTCCCCTCCCCCTTGACATTGATCCGACTCATCAGTTGAAATGTAGGGCGTCCGAAAGACATGATGTAACAGGAGAGAAAAGAATAACCATACTAGTTTCGTTGTCAAAATTGCCAAAGATAGCAATCCCTCCAGGAAAAGCCCAAGTTCCAGACTTGGGACTCTATTGGCTGGGACGGAGCAGAAGAGAAAAACTGAGAGCTTTAACCACTCAGGGCTAACAATACTTAAAGGGACTTTCATTCTGAAGAATTTTAATTGTTTATTTTATAGAAAGAATCATACTAACATAGAGAATTTCTGAGACTGGGATAATGTTGATTATATTTTCTTCATTGAGGTAACCAACTTTTAACTATTTGATTCAATTAAAGTGGATTTTTTACAAAAGATTATTTGATTTTAATAAAATCCACTATAGATCATAGAGCATGAAAGCTGCTTGGACTTTCTGAGGTTTTTTATGAATTTAAAATAAAGGCTATAAATAGGGAATATACTCGGAATTTTCATTTTGATTTGTTTAGAGGCTATGACTATATGGTATGGATCTTTAATTACTTTTCCCCATTATTAACGATCTTGTACGAAAAATAAGAATGCCTGGTTGCCTGCTGGTTACAGTAGGGCTGATAACCACATAGTTAGCAGTTCAAACCTACCAGCAGTGCCACAAAATAAAGATGAGGCTTTCTGCTGTAAGGATTTAACTTTTCAGAAACCCACAGGGGGATTTTTATCCTGTCCTGTAGGGTTGCTATGAATCACAATGAGCTCAATGACAGTGACGTTCTACCAGAAATATTTCCTGGAACACAAAAACTTTATTTTATCTTTTTATTCATTATATATTTGTTATATCTATTGTGCTTTACATAATAAATTTGAAAAAGATGTACAAAACAGCTGCCTTCATGAAAGAGTTGACATACTTCAAGGAAACAAATGACTGAGACCATACCTAGGAGCTGTACTTTTGTTTTGTTTTTGTTTGTTTATATTAGGGTGTATCTCAAAGTGGTTATGTCATTGCAGGTCACCACTTGAAGTTGCGTTATATCAGCAGTTCTCAACCTGTGGGTGGTGACCCCTTTGGGGATCGAACGACCCTTTCACAGGGGTCGCCTAAGACCATCGGAAAACACATATTTCTGATGGTCTTAGGAATGAAGACATGCTCCTCTATCCGTCTCCAGGTGGGTCTGCCCACATGCATATATGCCCACATACAAGTACCCAGCGTGAAGACTGTTACCCATGCTACACCATGCTTCAAGACAAAATTTCATTTATTTGTCATTAGAAATAAATATTTCACAATATATGACATATTGTTTTTGTGATTAATCACTATGCTTAATCATGTTCAATTTATAACAATGAAAATACATCCTTCATATCAGATATTTACATTACGACTCATAACGGTAGCAAAATTACAATTATGAAATAGCAACGAAAATACTTTCATGGTTGAGGAGGGACTGTATTAAAGGGTCGCTGCATTAGGAAGGTTGAGAACCACTGCCCTAAGGTTTGGGGCATTGTGGTGGGGTCTGCACTCACACTCCCATTTCTGTGGAGAAATAAACAATATTCTCCCCAAGGGTGGATTAGTGCCCTGCTCCCCCAGTACCATTGTCTCCCTCTCCCACCCCACTTTTAGCCCTCTCCCCATTCCCCTTCTTTCTGTTGGACTGATGAGTAGGATGTAGAGATCCTGGTGG